CCGCCTTTCTCCCAATAGGTCTTGGCGCACATGGGAGTGGTGAGTCTCGATCCATTGGGGAGTCCAATGGCGAATCGGTTGTCGACGAATCGTGGAGCGGCGTCTCATTCAACACAACCTCCGGAACAATGCAAATGATTTTGAATCTCGAACAATTCTTCACAATTTCCCAACATTGGTGACTTTGGAAACTTTTTTTGCCTTGCCCCGTAGCACCGAACCACATTTGTGCTTGTATGATCTATTCAAAATAAATAATTGGAAATGCAACCAAAAAATGAATATGGAAGAAAATATAAATAATTTGGAATTGCAAGAAAAAAATTGATTATGCAACAAAATATAAACAATTTAGAAATGCAAGAAATAAAATGATTATGCAACAAAAAAATAAATATGTAAGGCAATATAAACAATTTACAAATGCATGCAAAAAAATTATTATGCAACAAAATATAAATAAATTAGAAATGCAAGAAAATATAAATTTAATATGGAAGAAAAAAAAAAGTTACGTTCAATTGAATAAAACGAGAATTATAAATATTTTACCTCATCGGTAAGATTTTGACCGCTTCTCATGTTGTCCCTCGCTTTTGTCAAGACATCCCTCCATTTCCCTAACTCTTTATTCAAAATTTTCCACCTGGAATGCAAGGCCATTTCCGTCCGAGTCGAACCGGATCTAGCTGCAAATTCTTCATGAATTTTTCTCCACATATGAGAAAACTTCATCTCATTGCCTGTTATAGGACAATGACTAACTTTCACCCAAGACTCACACAACACAATATCTTCCACAGTAGTGCAAGCGCCTCCAGCTTCGATAGAAGAGGCCATTTGTTTTTTTGATACAAATGGAAACTAGTAGAAAAATGTGAGTGAAATGTAAAAAATATTGGAAGGAGAAGAGTTGGTATGAATATTTGGTGTGGAAAGTGAGTAAAATTGATAGGTATTTATAGGGAAAAAAGACAGTATTTTTTGGTATTTTTTTAAAAAAATTTTGACTTCTTTTAGAATTTTTTTGGCCAAAAAAACGAGGGCCGTCAGATTTCTGTGAAAAAAGCCATCGCAGCGCCCAGGAAGCGCCACGTGGCATTTTTCCGTTGGGCCCTATCAGGCGCTGACGTCAGCGCCTTTGGGCTGCTGCCCAAGCAAGATCTGCCCGTGGGCTTGCCCAGTTACATCCCTCCATTTCCCTAACTCTTTATTCAAAATTTTCCACCTGGAATGCAAGGCCATTTCCGTCCGAGTCGAACCGGATCTAGCTGCAAATTCTTCATGAATTTTTCTCCACATATGAGAAAACTTCATCTCATTGCCTGTTATAGGACAATGACTAACTTTCACCCAAGACTCACACAACACAATATCTTCCACAGTAGTCCAAGCGCCTCCGGCTTCGACAGAAGAGGCCATTTGTTTTTTGATACAAATGGAAACTAGTAGAAAAATGTGAGTGAAATGTAAAAAATATTGGAAGGAGAAGAGTTGGTATGAATATTTGGTGTGGAAAGTGAGTAAAATTGATAGGTATTTATAGGGAAAAAAGACAGTATTTTTTGGTATTTTTTTAAAAAAATTTTGACTTCTTTTAGAATTTTTTTGGCCAAAAAAACGAGGGCCGTCAGATTTCTGTGAAAAAAGCCATCGCAGCACCCAGGAAGCGCCACGTGGCATTTTTCCATTGGGCCCTGTCAGGCGCTGACGTCAGTGCGCGAAAGTCAAATTTTTTTACCGTTGGCGCGTGAATTTCACGCATCAACAGTAAAAAAATTTGAACTTATTGCTCGCTGACGTCAGCGCCTTTGGGCTGCTGCCCAGGCAAGATCTGCCCGTGGGCTTGCCCAGTTTCATGGGACCCACCATTTGCCCAGTCCATTTTTCTTCCGCTGGAGCTCTCTTGGGCTGCCTTGGGGGGCCTTTTGCCTAGTATTGGCTCAAGGCTGGACATGCTCTAAGAGACCAAAATTCGAAACGGGTCAAAATTCAAGCACTATTCAACCTAAAAACCTAAATAAATAAATAAAGTAGGATTTGAGGATTAGGAAAGTGGGCCGCTTATGGGCCCAAACAAGGAAAAAGTCATGTGGGTTTTATAGTTGGGTCACAAAAATAGTTGGATAGGGCCTAAAAGTTGGGATTTATATTTAAAATAAATATAAAAATTATAAGTCGGTTTGGTTCAGTTCAATCCGATTTTTATTGACAAAAAATTGGAATTAAAATTGGTTTGAACCGGTCTGGTTTGATTTGTCTTCGATATTAACTGTTTGGTCAATGCGATTTTTTTCTGGTTTTTTTCAACTCGGTTCAACTCGGATTTCCAATTTGAATGCCCACAACTGTGGTCAAATTGCAATCAGAACTCAATAATACGTCCAATGAATTACGTTAGCCTCCACTGAAGTTAATAAACTTAGACATTCCTCCCATAGAAACACCTCATCAGGCACAAACAAATTGAACAATTTGAAAACAGCCACCTTTAACTTAAAAAAATGGGAAAGCCCTATGAAAAATGCAGTCACATTATTTAGACCTCTCTCTGTCCTCTCTCTCGCTTCTCACGTTTACTCTCTGAAACAACTCCTCTTGTAAACGAAACTCATTCTCTCTCTCTCTCTCTCTCTCTCTCTCTCTCTCTCTCTCGTCTCCTGGTGATTAAGCCATAATTGCCATGATTAAGCCATGATCTCATTTCCTTAATAGCAAGGTTATCTGTCTGTGCTTGTAATGTTCTTGTAGTCACTCAAAAACAATTTTGAAAGTTTTGAATTGAATCTAAGAAGCATGCATATGGATATGCAGTGACTTTCTGTTGTTGTTGCTTTTTTTTTTTTAATATTTATTTTGAACAGAGGGATTTCGGGTGAGGAAAACATGGAAGGATTTCCAGAGAGAGGTAAAGCGGCGGATTTGGGCCAGCTTCAGTCCACCATGCATTCCATCGAGCTCGCTTGCACATCTATTCAGGTCTAATCTTTTTCTCTCACTCTCTTGGCTCTGTTTGGTGCTTCGAGATGGAGGACATGAAAATATATTGCATTCCCTGTTGCTTAGAGAGTTGAACGAAAGCTGTGAGAGTTAACTTCTTGAGGTTTTTGGTTTGATAATAAAAAGAAAAAGAAAAAGAAAAATCGACTTGGTGAGAAAGAAGGAAAACACTAAAAACCCACAACCGCAATTGGTGAGAATTGGCTTGTGTAGCAGGGATTCATGAATTTAGGAATTTGAAAAATACTTGAGACTGCAAACTAATTAGAAATTTTGGATTCCGAATGGCGTGTTTCATTTTTTTTTCCCCACATGAATGCCATTTCTTATTAGCAAATAAGATATGACCATGTCATTTGTCATGTCACTTGGTACCCAAAATATAAATGAATTCTATAGGCATGCAAGTTTGCGTAAGAGCACCCTCTTACATATGGGTTGCCCTTGAGCAGATGCATATGAATTCAGCTGCAGCTGAGGCAACTATTTTGTCACTGTCCCAGACTCCCCAGCCATACCAGGCGTGTAAATTCATTCTTGGTAAGTTAAAAATACTTTATTCATGTTAGACATAAATGTAGTTTTCTTTTTGTCTTCTGTAATTAGCTATGCTTTTGCTATATCCTGTCTCGAATATAGAGTTAAATAACTGTACATGAGCTGATGATCATGAAAATAGGATTGCTGTAATTGATGGTGCAAGATTAAGAGTAAGGGTTTGGGGAACTATAAATGTCCTATCGAATTATTATGCTGATAGTGATTTTATAATTTCAGAGAACTCTCAGGTGGCCAATGCAAGGTTTCAGGCTGCAGCTGCAATTCAAAATGCGGCTATTAGAGAATGGGGTTTTCTTAGCTCTGATAACAAGAGAAGCATGATTAGGTTATGTCACTCTTGAAACGTATTGCTCTTTGTTTTTTCCTCATAAGCAATATGAATAAACTATTCCGCAACTATTGTAGT